AATTCATTTGTGTGTTCATCCCACTATTATTCATATTCAAGCCTTGTTCAGGTAAGACGCGGTTAACCGTGGCTTCACATTATTTTCCGTATCCGATAACACAGAGCTTAGTGATGAGTATACGCATATAGACCTTTGATGCGCGCAGTTATATCTGAACAAGCCTTTAATGGCCAACTTACTCCGATTCCTTGTTTTCAGCGGCTTCCTTGACTTGGAATATCCAGGCCACTCCATCCTGTTTCTTAGACATTTTGGCTTCCATCTACCTAGTCAGAATCGTCATCAATAATTCCTTTCAGCGAACACTGTATTTTAATCTGTCCTGCCTCTGTTGACACCTTGTATCATTATCAAAATGAACAGATAATGCGATTGGCCTCTGCGAGTGTTGAAAGTGTGATAAAATGTAGTGACCCTTCGGATGGGTAGCCTACTCTGTACGCTAATCGATCAATGTTGTTTGTGAAGCGAGTTTGTATGACGATATGTATTTGCTAGTAGGAATAAGCTAAGATCGGAATTTGATATCATGCTCCGTTATATATGCGCAGCAGAAGAGATGAGCTGACAAAACCCTATTCCTATTTGTAATAAGTGCCCCTTCCCCTTTAAAAACGTGTCATCCCCTCTGATAAAATGCCCCTATCGAAATCTAAAAGGTACCCCTTTTACTTTAACAAGATGTCCTTTTTTAAATTTCTCTTTTCTCTTTTCATCTCTGATAAGTGCCTCATTTGCTTTTAAAATGTGCCTTTTTAACTTTTCAATAAGTGCCCTTTGCCTTCCTGATAAGTCCCTGTTTTCTCTTTTTAATAAATGCCCCTTTCTCTTCTTATAAATGCCCCTTTTAACCTCTGATAAGTGCCATTTTCAAATATTATAAGTTCCCCCTGTTTATTCGACGTAATCGCCCTTTCATATTAAAGTGACCGTTTTTACTTATTATTAGACTATTATACACAAGAGCAAAATATGGTGCAGAAGGAGTTCTTGACCCTGTAAAAAGAAAATCTTGAAGATCATCCCTGATAATAATTTCATTACAATGTAGGGGTATATAGTATATACATGTACATTATCGAAAGGTTGTATTTTTTCGTTTTTAGGTTACCATTTGTGGGTGACCCCTTTTTCCAGAAAGTGGCAATTTTTGATAGTGCAACCCCACTTTGAGAGTCGTGCTACCGCCTCTGCCACTATCGTCACGATGTAATAAGTATAGACATGTTTAACTAATTAATTAGATGCGTTTCAATGACAACAGCATTGAGACCAAAAGAGAATTCTTTATCATGCGTCTACCAAAATGTTCCGTGGTGCATGTCATTTTATGAAAAATAGAAATTTGATTGCCTGGGAAGGTATTGGATAGCATTTTGTCCAACCGTCAAAGGTTGTTTAGTCGATACCTTTAATAGTGACGTGACAAGATGTTCATAAACATGGAATAAATGCATAGTAATACTGAAACTTATAAGTTATTATTTTTTTTAAATTCAATTATCAATCATAATAACTTTTGATGATGTCTGCAATCTTAAGAAACCAAGTTTTCTTACAGACGTTCTCGTCGAAATTAATAATTGTGAATCGGGCCAATTACCGGCTGGGATACTCGATATGGCACAGTCCCCGAAGAAATAAATGAAATAAAAATTGAAAGCCTAAAACAGCGAAAATCATACTTTAAGAAAAAAATAAACCATTATCTCTGCTAAGTGCAGGCAAAACAACGTAGGCACTATGCAATATTAATTCTTGTATCCGCTGTCACTATCTACATTACCTTCGCAATGCTTTGTTGTTGTTGTTGTTGATGTTGCTGTTAGATTTGATTCTTTGTATATTTGTTTTAAGTTAAGTCCCTGATATCATGACAATACTTCACTTCCGCCAACCGTTCTCTATTATTCTGTTATTTTTCATTATTTTAGCTTTTACTCTGCTTCCCCTTTTTTTAAATTTCCCTTCAGTTCTTTTTATTTGCCCTAGCTATTCTTTTTACTGTGAAATATAAGATTAAAAGAGCAAACTCGTATTTGTGTAGACTTACATGAGAGACACGTTGCTAAAGAGAGAGACGGTAGAGAGAAAGGGAGAGAAAGGGAGCAGGAGAAAGACAGAGAGACAGAAAGAGAGGCAGAAATAGAGGAGGAAAGAGAGGAGGAATGGAGAAAGAGAGAGAGAGACATACAGACATACAGACTGACAGTCGTGCATGATAGATTACAGAAAGGCACTTTAGATTTATCACAGTTATTTTGCCCCCCCCCCCCCCTCCAACAAAAAAGAGAGAATAATTGTTCTGAGAGATGTTATTATTTTTAAGTGACAGTTTAAAGATGCGATATTTTTATTTAGTTTAAATGCATTTTGCAAAACTAAACCGAGACAATTAGTTAATATATGATGATACAAACGTTTGATAACAATCATAGCTACATCACGATTTGTCGCAACGGAAATTAAATGTCACTTTTATCACAATGATCTCATTTTCAAAAGATACGTCACCTATATGAAGTGGGTCTGGGTTAAAGGTAAAGACCAGTTATGGTCAATGCGATTGCATTGTGAAAGAAACGTTGTGGAATCGATCAGAAAAGGTTGATCATCTTGCATCTAGCATCTGCAAGGTTCTGGAATCATCAAAATGATAAGAAATTTGGCCCATTCTTCGTAAAGTTACAAGCACTATACACAGAAAGATGTATATGGGACTACCCTATATCTCTCACAGACCATGAGAGAAACAAATTTACCAAATATATGAATTAGTAGGCGGTTTCCCGGCAAATTTGTTATCATCATGTATTAGTCAAAACATATTCTTTCACATGATTGGTAATGAGAGCTTCCATTTCATTTTTTGAAATTGGGGCGTTTCCAATACTGGTCTTTACCTTTAAGAGCGTCTGTAAGGGGGCGAGGGAAGGGGTGGTGCCGCCTCCAGGATTAGATATTTGAAAAGAAAGAGTACACGACACCCAATCATCACTGACACGTTGAAAACACAGGTGGTACATTCACAAAATATATTCACAAAATTGTGCTATTAAACTTTGGTTTTAAAGTGGAAAGCGGCAAGTACTTGTATGTGCCTCTAAACTAGTGAATTTTTGAATATCGTGAAGTTCCACAGAGAAATTATAGGTAAAGACCAGTATTGGAAACGCCCCAATTTCAAAAAATGAAATGGAAGCTCTCATTACCAATCATGTGAAAGAATATGTTTTGACTATATGAATTAAACAAACAATCAAATGAATAAATAAGTAAATTAATAACAAATAAATGGCAACCATCAAATAACTCTTGAGACAGTTTACATGGAAAACAAGACAAAGAAGATAAAAAGTTCTTTAAAAATATCGTTTAATGATAACAAAGAAAAATAATGCCTACATGATTATTTTGAAAGATACGCTCTCTACATTTTCAATAACATATTATCTTTCGGGACAAACGTCCAACATGGCAAGGATTATAGAAATTGATGTTTGATAAAGAAGTTCATAAATACTAAATCTACCCTTAAAAAGTCCATGGTTCATAAAATGCGCACGAGGTCAGATTAAAAAGTACGATGGATTATTTTTAACACCTAATTAACGTCAAAAGTGATAATCTTCACCTTTTCGGATAACTTTTATTGTTTGCGGTTCGAGTCCCGCCATGGCACTAAATGTCCTTTAGCAAGACATTTATCTACATTTGCCACTCTCCACCAAGGTGTTAAATTATAAAGCAGGAAGTCTTTAAATGCTGCGAGCACCGATATCGGTAGCCAAACAGAGCCGGGGTAATATTGAAGTGCCTTGAGCACCTTGCATGGTGGATATGTGCGTTATAAAGATATCCAATATTAATTATCAGTATCATTATCATTTTCGTCGATGCATGTGTACAATCGATCATACTGCCCACTGAAATGGATTTAAGAGTAAATAATTGCCTTATATATATATATATATATATATATATAATCTATGTATTCGTTGACATGGTGATCTGGGGATTGCAAAACAATTTGTGATTAAATGTAATCATGTCCCCTTTTCAATCCCCATAAATCATGTCGATCATTTATGATTTTTACGTCAGAGACGTCACACCATTTCCATCTTTTGTCCTGTTTTCCAAAGCAAGCACTAGAATGCGGTAACACATTGTCGACGTAAAGACTTCCCAGCGGTGTGCGTGCATTAATTAATTAGGTGATCATTTCAAAATTAATAATTGTTGTAGAGTAGCCGTAGTCAAGTAAATTGAAAAATTTAGGTCATGCAGTAAAGTTGAACCATTATTATTACCGGAGGTGGTCGTGTTCATTCAGTGCACAAGTTTATGTCTCTCGATCTCTCGGGGGACACCTAATGTCATATAATTATGAAAAGTGAGAAAAACTACATAGTACATTCAACCAGCATTGGAATGCATTTTTTAGGAACTGGGTTAAAATAGATTGTATATTCCTTCTAGAGGCATACTACAATGACGTTTTTTATTAACATTTATACATCTCTTGAATAATTTATTCAGTATCTTCACTCGATCCTGCAACGATGCAGAAGTATCGTAGACGAACCTGAACTTGAATTTCTCTTCCGTTTCAGGGTATGAAACGTTCTTGTAATGCCCGTGGTACATGTTGCGTCATTTTCATTCCGTCACTCCCTGCGCCAATCGGGCCCTGTGAATCAATATGATGTTTACATTGTTCAATTTGCATTCTTTTATTTTTTGTGTACGTTGTAACGCTAATAAGGCCCGTCAAAGACCACCACCGTCACTGACGCATGCAGTCGTGCGTCAGTCGAGTGACGTCTCGTATCCATGGACTCATGAATCGCAGTTTCAGTAGAGGTCAGATTTAAATTATGGTCTGGGAAAGGCAGTCACAAGACGTTAAATAACATGCCTAAGCCTAACTATCCTCTTTCCCCTTCCATCCCTCTCTCTTTCTCTATATCTCTCTCTCTCTCCCTTCTCTCTCTCTCTCTCTCTCTCTCTCTCTCTCTCTCTCTCTCTCTCTCTCTCTCTCTATCTCCCTCTTTCCTCATGAAAAGAGAAACAATGATAACGCATGTAATGATCAAAAGTGGTGTCATAAACCAATTTGGATATTCGGTTGCCTCGATCATTATAAAGTTTTCCGAAGGATCCTTTCTCTTTTACGTTAATTCAATGAAAGTACTTGGTTTATCTTTCATTTGGTGTTTTTATAAGAAAATCATAATTTAGTGTCGTTATCTTCCAAATTAATGTGGGCTGAGAACGGTAGCTTATCACTGGCCAGCTTGGACCGGGTCCTGCGGTGAAGAGCTTCGGCATCCTGTATGGTCTGGGGCTGAGTGCGACCCAGAGTTTCAGGGAGGGGTAATACGCTGAAACCCGCCAGGATCGAGAGGGTACCAAAAATGGTCATTGGTAGCCAGACCTCGTAGACATCCTGTGATTCAACGGGGAAAAAGAAAAGGAAAAGGTATGAAGAACTTAATATTGGTAAAGAAGAACATGAAAGAATAATTTCAAAATAAACATGAGCGCTTGTGAACGCTATCCATAATTTATCAATCCCACGTACAAACTTATTTATTAGTGCTTGTTTTGTTTTTCTCTCGTCACTTAGTATCTTTCAGCTAAAGATTCCGCAAGAGGAACAATCTTAACCAGAGGCGGCGGACCCGGGGGGGGGGGGGGGCAGGGGGGCACAGTGCCCCCACCCCACTTTTTCAAGTACCCCAAAAGTGCCCCTTTTTCCATAGGAAAAGTGCCACTTTAACTTTCTAAGAAGCGCCCCTTTTTACATAAAAACTGCCCCTATTACTTTGATAAGTGCCCCTATTAATTTTTAAAAGTGCCCCTCCCCTTTCCACCTCTGATATGTGCCCCTTTTATTTTGACACGTATCTTTTTTGCCTGACAAATTTTCTTTGCAATAAGTGTCTATTTTCCGTTCTCATAAGTGCCCTTTTTAATCTCTAGTAAGTGCCCCTTTTCGGGTACGAGAAGCGCCCGTTTTCACTTTTGTTAAGCGCCCCCTTCACCTCTGATAATTGCCCTATTCAAATCTTAGAGGTGCCCCTTTTACTTTGACAATTGCCCCTTTTCCTTTGTAAGAAGTGCCCCTTTCCCTTTTAATAACTATCCCTTTTTAACTCGGATAAGCGCACCTTATATTTTCACATGCGCCCCCTTTCCTTTCTAATAAGTGCCCCTTTTCCTTATGATAAGTGCTTCTTCGCTTTTTCATAAGAGCCCCCTTTCACCTCCAATAAATGCCCCTATCAATATCTGATCAGTGCCCCTTTTCTTTCAACAAATTCACATTTCCCTTTATTATTAGTGCCCCTTTTTCATTCTCATAAGTGCCTCTTTCATATAAGGTGTGTGCCCCTTTTCACCTCTGATAATTAACCTTGTTAACAATGATACGTGCCCCTTTTCCTTTCTTATAAGGAACCTATCAAAATCTGATGGTTGCCTCTTTTCCGCGACAAATGCCCATTTTCACCTCTGATCATAACCCTTTGTACTTTGACACGTGCTCCTTTTATTTTCTAATAAGTGTCTTATCCCTTCGATAAGTGTCCCCATTTCCTCTCATCATTAAACGTGCCCCTAATTTCAAGCGACTAAGAGCAATATCTCCCAAAGCTTGCTCGCTACGCTCGTTCACATTTATAGATGTTATAAGTTTGTTACTTATCAAAGGTCTTTTCAGTTTGCTGTTATGAGAATGTGCTTATTTATAACCCGATGAGGATTGATTTTTCCCTCTTTATAAGATGTAGTTTTCGCACTGCGACCTCACAAATCTTAATTTTTTCCTCGCTCGCTTTGCTCGCTCGCAAATGATTTTTTTTCGACCATCACACCCAACTGCAAGGTATGATGCTTAACCAATATTGTATACGATGTATAAAGAGAAACAAATATTGAAATCATCCCTGATAATGTAATCAAATTATAGGGGTATATACCAATGTATAAAAAATTGAATATTTTCGCTTTGAGATTTCCCTTTGTAGGTGCCCTTTTTTCCCAGAAAGTGCCCTTTTTTGTTGGTGCCCCCCCCCCCCCCCACTTTGGAAGTCGCTCCGCCGCCTCTGATCTTAACATGAAACCACCGGCAGAGTCTACTTTATATCATTTTTTTTTATCAAAGTAACGACATCCACTGACGAGTATTACGTGAAATCCCTTGACAGCCACGTCTCCTTAAAAAGACCTCGGTGTCATACACACACCAACAAATATGTGCCGACAGTTGTGTTAGTGTGCTCCTTTAACCAAAAGCACCTGAACATTTTGTCAATCTCTTTTTTTCTTGTGCTTATCACATAATTTTCCGAATTCCAAGTCCCGAGTGTCATGGATTTCTTGAACGCACCTATGTTTTATGTGTGCATTTAATCATCGGTCGACCATACAGGCAAAGGTTCTCCATAATATTCGAAGCAAACAGAGTTACACTTGATATAATTATTACTTTCGTTAAATGGGATCTGTTAAACTTTGATTGAATAAGAACATGACTCACGAGCGCAAGCAAAAACGGAGCAACGATACCACCAACTCTGGAAGAAAACGACGACACGCCCAGTCCAAGATTCCTAATAATAAAAAAAAGTTGGTATGATGTATTACTTAATAATGATAGGGGGGTATAAGAAACAGAGAAATTGAGAAAAGGTGGGGGAGAGGATTAACATAGTTCATTGATTAAATGAAGACCAAGTCTTAACCCCAAAGTTCTTAATAACTTATTTCAATTACAAAATAATTGATAATTTAAAAAAGATTGATATCGTCAAGACATGAAAATGAAAAACTATTCCTATAGAGTCAAATGTAGTACTTTTAATTCAGTTGCAAATTTTAAGTGATTTGTAAAGGGTAAAGAGGTCGAAATTCCGCACTCCAGAAATCGATGGACTAATCTAGCATTTAGGCAGCTTTCGAGAATATAATGGACCAATGAGTGCATATATCATATCCATTCAAATTCACGAGGCTCATTAAAATGGGTGAGAGAAAAAAGAAGCAATCTACCTAATTAGCAAGGTTCAGTAAACACGCATACCGTATTCCTTTCATTAATGGGATTAAATGTTATCATCTACGTCATCTTAACACGGGTAAGGTGACTTTGATGGATATGGTTTCAATCGATGTCTTGTTCATGCTCTGTGACCAGCATGGAATTAATTGGGGCATGCTACTTTCAGTGGCGGATCCGGGGATGGGGCAACGGGGGCACTAATCCCCTCCCCCCCCCCCCGGGTTTAAAAAAAAGTGGGAAAAGGGAGAAATATTTAAATGTCATAATTTATTTCCCCCCTTTCTTTCTTTCTTTCATTTTCTTTTCCTTTCTTTCTCATATTTTTTTGTTTGTTGTTTTGCTTGTCACAATTTTATCGGACTTTGCCCCTCCCCCTGCAAGAATGATCGTGATTCCACCACTTTAATTTATAACGACGTTACCTTTTACAGTCAAACCTGTCTATAGCGACCGCCCAAGGGAAACACAAAAAGTGGCCTTTGTAGACAGGTGGTCTTTGTAAAGACAGATTCCTTTAGTATACATGATTCAATGAGAAACCATTTTCAAGGGAAACAACAAATGTGGTCTTTGTAGACAGGTGGTCACTAAAGCAGGTGTGACTGTACCTTTATTTATTACCTGATTACTGTAGGGAAGAGTTCTGACGCGTAGAGAAATACGATAGCGTATGACGCCGATATACAAAATTTGCCTGCCATTGCAACGGTAACGATAACAGGTGAAAGATCTGTACCGCCCTCTGTGGTGAAAACAAAAATGAAGAAGAAATCGATAACCATAAATAAGGGGTGATCAACTAATCCCGTTTTGGTAGTTAAGACCTAGGAGCAATATACATTTATCTAGCCGATTTATGTTATTACCGAGTCTGTATGAGGTGTTTCATTTCAGACAGTATTAATTTCATCCCATTGGATTTTGCCCATTTATAGATTTCTTTTGTTGGTTGCCTTACGACACCGTGTACAATGTAAAATACTGCAATATAAATTACTACGTCACCGCCTTAATCGACGAATGAACCAGAGACAATGAAGGTGGATCGAAAATTGAAGGTAGATGACATGAATTTACAACGGAATGACTGAACGTACAGTTCCATTGTTTGATGGTTTTAAGGGTTCGGAGACCTTTTTCAGGTGTACAACTATACCATTAATTTTGTTTATATTTCATTTTGGTCCCATTACTTTACTTATGATATCCAATAAAAGCAACATAGCAAAGGAAGAAAAAAAATCTAGAGAATCCCCACAAAAGTAATAATACGCATTACTATCAATACCTGTTTCGGCGGGAATGAATACTGTTGCTATGCAGGCTATACCTCCGATAATATGACAGGCACAGAGTGGAAGCCGTCTGCCAACACTGTAACGAATACAAAATAGAGGGCGTTGACCATTGATTGTACTTATTGCACCTCAACGATGTCTTTCAAAACATGTTCAGAAAATTTGTCATGACAGTATAATAAAAGAAAATACCTACAAAAAAAAGAGAGCAAGGGGAACAAAAGGAAAGAAAGAGAGACGGGGGACAGACAGACATACTTAATTCGAGAGACAGAAAACGAATGTAAGAGAGGGACGAAGGAGATTGAAATTACGGGAAAAGGAAAAGATGAGAAGGGCATGAATGGGACGGTATATACAGACAAAAAACACCTGAAAAGTCTTTAAAGGCTTTATTTTGTGCTGAGCGTCACATAAATTAAAAAAAGACAATCAATTATGTCATGTATCTGTTGTGATTATATAGACTGGGAATTAGTTCAGCGGACATGGTTCGATAATTTGACATTTATTTATGTCTGTTTGACGCTCGGCGCGTTAAAATGATAGTACTTAACACCCTTCTGGCTCCAAACAGACGCTCCAAACAGACGGTATTGCATGTAATGAACAGAGTATACCGAGCTCACCGAGTTGGGGAAAGAGAGAGAGAGAGAGAGAGAGAGAGAGAGAGAAGAACAAAATTCATCTCAAACGTGATCGTTTGATAAAAATTGTAGAAAATAGGTTTTATGTTTGCAGAGCTACATTGTATTTTGTCTTATCAAATAGTTTTCACTTTATGCAAGAATTGTATTAGAAATAATAATTGTGCACATAGTTGCCGTAAACGTTTGTTATTTCGTAAGAACTACACGTAGCTCTACTGACCATCTGATGAGACCGGCTGCAACGAAATAGGCGGGAACCTCGACAGCTCCACTAATGAAGAAATTCAGATATGGATCGCCTGCTAAACTGTCCGTGTTCAGCGACAGTCCGTAGTAGATGACGCTATTTACAAACCTGTATTTGTGACAGAGAGAAGATTTCAGCCGTCACAAATTCATCATCAATCAGCATAATGTGTAGCAAAATAAAAATTAAAGAAAAGCTTTTTGGATTTGCTTTCTTCACTTATATATATATAAAACAGAAAACAAAAAATAATTTGTTGAGAACCACTAAGTTTTCTGGTTCTGGTTCTTAGCAGATCTCGTCGTGTATTGATTGACGGCGTTCCAATGGTGGTCTGTCTTAACATGACAGTTTCAAGTGGTACGAATCGACCAATGGTGGCCTAGCTCAAATAATGATATGACAAAAGTGTCCTATACTAAGAAATTACACCCTTTTTCTATTGGTGACTTTTTTCCAACATTTGAAGAAAAAAAAGAATCGACCATCATTGCCCGTGCCCACTCGAGACCTAATAATTATCCCTCACGGGACCATGCAGTTGCGTTAATATATTAACCTTTTCTCAAATGTGGGATCTTAATAGTGCAGGCGTATATCCAGTGAAGGGGAATACGACGCCCCTCCCCCTTCCCCGCACCGTTTAAATATTAGGGGGTGTTTCACAAAGATCCTCAGTTGAACTTACCTCTAAGTTGGACTTAACAATTATGGACAGCCGTTAGCATCCTTGAAAACATTTAGTAAAAGTTATTTTAAAAGGCATACAATGTTGATTCAAATCATTCATATTTTCTATTATCATAGGAGATTTCATGTTCTTGATGTGGTGTATATATAAAAAGTCTAAAATAATTGAATTTTCGCTTTTGAATATATTTTATTTTAAGGCTACAAATGGCTCTCCATAATTTTTAAGTCAAACTTAAAGTTAAGTTTGACTGAGGATCTCTGTGAAACACCTCCCTGATATGATAACCTTAAACCATAATTCCATATTGATGATAATCCAAAACTGTCGATTCTATATTTCAATAAATTGATTTGATTTGATTTAAACTAGCCTGTAGAACACTGAGATACCAAGATCTACTATGCCCCATCCCCATCTACAGATGAACCCCCTCATCCCCTTTTATCCATTTCGGGATACGCCACTGCTTACCAAACAAATGCCATGATGATAGTCAGCTTCCTCATGTTCCGCGTCCGGATCAAATCAAGAAGTGTGAAATGTTTCTCCGCGCCAAAGACCGCATCCGACTCCGAAAGCGCGTCCATGCTTGCAATGCTGTACCCTTCCACAAGGGTAAGCGTCTTCGTATCGCCATTCGTAAGGTCGTAAAGGTCGGGATCCGATGCTGCAGATACTTGTCTGAGCTTGGCATTGACTTTAGTTCTTCTGGACAAGGTCCAAATATCGTAGTTGGTCGAGGTGTTGGCCTGATGAGCTTGGGACAGTATCGGTGATGGGATCTCCTTGCCATTGAATTTGGCAATCCTCTGCAGGTTTGCTTCCGCTTGGTCTATTTTCCCGCGGGACAATAGCCATCTGGTTGATTCTGGAATTGCTCTGAATGAATAGAAAAATTGAGGGAATATCGCCAGGCTTACTATTTGTAGCTGGTAATTCAATGTCATTTTATCGCTATAGGATATCGGCTCACTACTGACTATAATTGTGTTTTTTTTATTTGAATCTTATTTTTACGTACTGTAAAGCAGGGCTCCCACTTAGCCGAGTTGGAACCTCGAGTTGTGGCCAGCTGGCGCGATCTTAAAGCAAGCCGTTTTATTATTAATTGATATCAATAAATCAATTCTTGTAATCAAGAAATAATTTTTTACGTTGTAAAGCGATAGTAATTCTTGATATCAAGAATTCGATTTCGTGATATCAGCAATTCGATTTCGTGATATCAAGAATTCGATTCTTGATATCAAGAAATATGGTTTAATGATAAAACTGCTTGCCATAAGATCGCGCCAGCTCGCCAGAACTCGAGGTTCCAACTCGGCTAAGTGGGAGCCCTGCTTTAACACTTTAAGATGTTGGTTGAAGAAAGGATCTTGAATAATCACCGGAGAAACATGATAACAGTTTATTGAGATTAAATAAAATATACAGTAGGCTAATACAGTTGCACCATGTGAGAGCGTGGGGGATTACGGAGTCCTGAGCTTATAGTTCTAAAGAGAACTATAGCGCTTGTTGGAGAGGATAGGGGGCTCGGCGGACTATCCGTCGTCATGATGGGCGTTTCAGGTTGGAGTGCAAATGCCTTAATTCAAGTTCTACAACTAGTGCCCTTAAACTAGTCTATTCCTTTCGAAAACACCCCGGCGGTGTCCTTGTCCACGACATGTCCTAGCTATATAGTTACTTACGCTATGATGAAGACAGTTAATATATTGGGCAATGAGATGGCGAGTTGAAGGTAGACCCAGTCCTTGAGGAGATAGGCCAGGCCCGGTAATGACATGATTCCTGAAGCCCAGAAGACGGTGAGGAGGATACCCGCTGGTCCACGCTTACTCGGTGTAAACATCTCCGTTACCATCACGTAAGACGTCAGGTCGATACCCTGCAGATAACAACAAGCAAATAATTACCATTGGTTAAGGTGATGGGACAAACTATCACTTCCGATGCGATCTGGATACAGCTATCTTTCCGAAACGAAGCTGAGGAAAGATAGTGTATACATTTAGATCGCCGAGGAAGTGATAGTTTGCCATCGCCTGCTTTATATTCCATATCGGAAACATTTCGGAAATAATTCCGTCATTTTAGAGCAACAAGCTATTAATTAACAGATAGCAAATGGTGTACGATACGTACAGTGTATGCAGTACTTACGTACGTACGTATGTACGCAACTTCGGTGAAAGTGCGTTGCACTGTGTAGATATGCTACTATCTACACAGTGCAACGCACATTCACTAAAGTACTATCTACACAGTGTAACGAACCTTTCTTCTCCCATCAATGATGGGCGAACTATCTTTCATCACATGATTTACTTTTGACCAATCGTAGAGCAAGATTCTTAGTATGTGGAATATATATAACAACGATTAAAAACATTTTTTGAGTCATCTTCGTCGCCTTCATGTATGATATCGGGTCAATACCCGGCAGATAACAAAACGTATTAAAAAGTTTTATAAAAACACATCTTTGTCACCATCACGCATGATCCAGGTCAGTACCCTATAGATTTAACAAAAAAGATTTTACAAATGTGTTCATAAAATGTCTTCGTTGTTGTCGTTGTGATTTTTACCGTGATTTTAGCTCATAATGAAAGAGCAATTCCTAATGTAATTTTTGATAACATTTTTTTGTTTGATTCATTTGAGGATGACTCTAAAAATACTGTTCCCAGCATGATATCTTACAAAGCTGTGATCGAGGAAGAATATAGTTAAAAAGTATGGGTACAAAAGAGGAAGCCATTGTGTTTGTAACTTTAAAAACGTGACAAACTCGAAGTAAGTATAGCTTCATCCTCCAAGCTCCAGGGGCGGATCCACAAAAATGCCCCCCCCCCCCCGGCAACAAAAGAAGTAAAAGGAGTTTTAGCTCATATTGGTCGGCGCGATTTCCCCATTTCCGGGGGCAAACAAGTAAAAAGAAATTGTTAGTGCTCACTACCCCCCTCCCCCCACTGAGTGAAATGTCGGTCGACGTGATTTTCAAATTCAGCCCCCCCCCCCCCCCCTATTGTAAATCCTGGATCCGCCACAGCCAAGCTCTATGTTATATCTTAAGAATCTCTCACTGGTGACTGGCCTATGAGTCTTTCGAAAGGACGTTACACTTTCATTCGATTGTACTCATCTATTAAATCTCGACCATTTCCTGGTAATAAGAAATTGTTTGCTTGTAATCTGAACAACATACTGCCGATCTCTACTCTCTAATAATCGACATCAGTGGCGAAACACGAGCCTAGCTATTGAGGGGGCGCTTCTCTGGCTGGATGCATGGATTGTGGGCAAAATTATGAAAGCCACCGAGCGAGTGTTGGACGGGGTTGGAGGGGTCATGACATTTTCTTGGTACGTTCCCTCCTCTTCTCTCTCTCTCTCTCTCTCTCTCTCTTTCTTTCTCTTTCGTTATTTCTCTCGCCATTTGATTTGAGCCCCCTCCTGTAATAACCCCGTTGATCAAGAGCAATCGAGATTGAACCATTGAGTCCTGAAACTCATTACGCAAATTAAGGACCGGTAATGTGTTTCGATATGCGATCGACATAAAGTGATCAGTACTTTAATATCTAATTAAAGGCTGTTTGTCTTACTTTGCAGTTGCATGTATCTGATTTCAAATGCGAGTGAACAGCACACACGATGGATTATTAAAAACAGAATCATTGTTATTGAAAAAAAGAAATATATGATTTTGTCTTATTTACCCAGTACTCGTCCTGTGGGCCCTACAAACATCAGACCCCTCCCCTACATAACATGCCTTTACTGCAGTTTGTTTCTTTTATGTCTGTTTGCAAAAAAGTTTGCAGCAAACACGTTCAGTAATTATTACATGCAGTATTACATGCAATAATTACATGCAGTAATTACTAACAAGTTCAATTTCTTTCAGACAGATACATACCATATTTGTCAACTGATGCATTAATTGGTCTTGATGTAATTCGCCAATTCAAAGGTTTGAACCCTTTAATGCAAAGAGCTGACAGAATAGTGACAAAGCACTCTTCAAACGAAAGCGAAAGGATGATAATTATCGTCTAATAAAAGTCTATTGGCATTTTTAAAGGCACGGCTGTAAAGAGCTGGAGGAAAAATATCGACATTGATTATTTATTGGGTGAGTCGCTGTTCATCGTGTCCTTAATTTCTTAAAGGTATATACCAGTTATGGAAACGCCCCCCTCTCAAAAAAATGAAATGGAAGCTCTTATTACCGATCATGTGAAAGAATATGTTTTGACTAAAAATACGTGATGATACAAATTTTGCCGGGAAACCGCTTACTAATTGATATATTTGGTAAATTATTATATCGATCCGGCCTGGATAAATATCGCGTATGCACTTCAACATTGAACATTTGGGCATATATTTCTGCTTTTTTTGCGAATTTAGGTTAAAGTATTGCCATCTAAACCTCTGAAGGCAATATTTAAACAAAATTGAATAGATATTTTGTACCCAGAACCCTTGAAACGTAATTTTACCACTACCGGTCTATTATCTTTAAACTTTGATTGTCAATACATCCCATCGCGCTATCTAAGATTTCATTTGAACTCATTTCACTCGGGATGGGAGATTGTTGATTTATCGCTATATATTTCCTAAACTGTAATGATCTTAGATCAAATTTCTAAAATTCAGAAAATATATATTACAACAATTAAAATAATGACAGTTTTTTTTTTTATCGAAGATTAAACAGTTATGATACTTCGTTCGGCTTTTTCTTCACTTATCATCCGTAATTCAATAGATTCTTAATAAATGTTTTACTTACTTTCATCAAATACAGTACTCCTAAAAATTAAAGGATAACTTTATCTCCGGCCTACCAACCCAGAAAAACCAACTACACTATTCCGTCCCCCCCCCCACCCACCTCACTGCGTGAACATGGGGTTACGGTTGCCAAAATGGTGGCATTTCCAAAACTCTCTTGGATGGGGGAGGGAGATTTCCACCACTCTCTGCACGGGTAGCGTGATAAGTGAGATGCTTAACCCAGCCCCAACCTCGTATAACACTATAAAAATCAGCATCATCAAGACCCAATAGATCTCAAAGACGGTGTCCAGTGGTGTATCCAAACCTTGGTATCACGAGGGGGCAACACATTTAATCTTACTGTCAGGGTTTTTTCGTTAAGGGTGGAGGGGTACAGCCCAAAATGGATAATCTTTGGATAATATAACTGTTTTTGTATGTTTCATTTTCTTGATCGGAAATTTGTAAGATGGGGCAAGTCCCCCCTCCCACCCTTGTCCCTCATTCAAATACACCATTGAGGATGTCGTACCTGTTCGAAGACGCCGACGAAGAACCGGAGGGCGACGAAGGTCCAGTAGTTGGGAGAGAAGGCGACTGCGACACCGAACGCGATTTGGGCCCAGATCGAAATGAACCAGATCGGCTTCCTTCCGTAACGATCCGATAGCTGTCCAAAGACGAGGGATCCGACCATGACGCCACCCATGAAGATTGACATCGAGAGATCGACTTTGCCCTTTTCATCGCACACCAGATTCCACTAATAAAGCAAAATGCAACAACAACAAATTTTAGAAATAATTGGAAAAACATTGCCGAAAATACATTCCATACTGATCAATTTAAACATTTAAAATTGCATCGAAATTTAAAAAGTATTTTAATCACGTTTATCCTTATAAACACTAAAGTTCACCTCAAAGTTATGCAATATTGTATCATGCGTTTTTATAAACTTTTACTTAGTTCATACATTTAAACATCCACTTTCGTCAATGTCTGGGAAATCGAGCAAACTAACTGTTTATATTCTGATTGAACATTGAAGATAATTATACAAGCTATGCATAAGGTCATTAAATCGTGTTTTTTTTTCGAGTGCCGTTCTCTCCATGATTGTGTTATGTTACTTTTTTGCTTCGTTTTTTTTTTGTTTGTTTGATGCTTAGCTTGGATATTGTGGTTGCTTGTATTACTTTATATTACTATATAATTGCACGTTATGTTGAATGAACGTTAAACGTTTAAAAATAATTTTTGGTAATATTAGGCGTTCTCATATTTTGGTATTGCATGGCAATATCATTCTGGATATCAAACATTTGAAATGGCCCAAATCAAGAGAATGATGTTAATTTTATATCGGGGTCAAGCAAGTAACACTTTGGGGCGGTCCGGCGATGTATATTCGTGTGTGTGTGTGTGTGGGGGGGGGGGGGGGTACTTGGTAATGTGGTCCCGGTGCATTATACAGTGCGTCCCAGAAAAAAACGAAACGGTGAATTATCGATGTTCTGTTTATTTGAAGTAATGCTTGCATCAAGTCTTTCGTCTTCTTTGTGCATGGCTGATCGTCAACGAAACGGATTAAAGTCTTTTGTCAACTCTGTCTCTTGCTACGGCAGGTAGCCAGTGAAAATTAATTCGTTTAATCAAAATATGGAAATGCAAGCATTACTTTAAACAAACAGAACTTTGTTATTCCGGGCTCATTTTTCCTGATTGAGGTGTCATATGGAAGGGCAGAAATTGAACTTTCTAGAAATGTGATTTTCTCTTTGAAATTCAGATACCGCCCACCATATGACTTTTTCGTATCCTTTCTTCAAATTGTTTTTAATCACTCAGGCGTGAAATATACATCATACGAGTCGCATCAAATGAAAGAGGAGGATCAAAGCTTTCCAAATGTCATTTATTAATTATAAATGTGATTAAGTTATGCTAAAACGTCGATAATTCTCGGTTTCATTTTTTCTGACACACACTGTATAGGATAAAACTTGAAGGTCGTGATATGAAAAGAAGGGTAAAACTAACACGGGGGTGGAAAATGTAGAGATTCTTGTATTTATAATCAAGTAATTACTGCGAGTCAATTAACTCGTTGTGTCAATGTTAGAAGTCCTTAAAACGATTTGGTTTGATACTACACGCTTTACAAATTTAAATGGAATGAACTATATATACGTAAGACCAACAGCTTTTATCGACCTTTGCTTTTATGTACATTTCAATGACGTAGGCTATTATAAAATACACAATCTGTATGTGACAGGCATCATGCAATTGTATTATATTTGAGATTCGCCGTTGACAAAAGTATTGATTTTTTTCAACATTAATTAATACATGGAAATTTAACTCAAAACACTCTCAACAGTAATACGACGTTTTCCAGACATATTATTATAGCATCAATTTGTTTAGGTGGATGCGCAAGTCAAATAACAATTAAGAGAAGAGGGAGAGAAAGAGAGAGAGAGAGAGAGAGAGAGAGAGAGAGAGAGAAAGAGAGAAGAGAGAGAGAAAGAGAGGGAGAGAGAGAAAGAAAGATGTGGCCTGGGTGGGTTCCTATTTCAGCGAAAGTCATGAACTTGTGACCCTGTGAGATCAAGAGGCATCCATTGAGGATATACTAGAGGTCAAACCTATTCGATTCACAACGAACAAGACCTATATTATTTTTTAAGGATAAATAAATTATTGTGCCACAAAAACAACAAATTAGCCAAGGGAAAAGAGATTTCGAATCTTTAATTGCAAATTACTGGTAACATAATATATTCAATGTTTTTGTTTGTAATCAATCTGGTCTTGTTGAACGACAGTCATGTTATACCCTCAATTGGCATACAGTTGTAATCCAAAAAAAAAAGATGAAGCATAACCCCCTCCCTTAGAAGGCCTATGTATCCTGCATGTATCCTATAGGCAATGCACACAACCTTGCAAATTGTTTAAAGCTCGCATGCTACTTTATAGTAACCGTAACATATCGCCGCCTGTACCGACCCCTCCCCCCCCCCCCCCCCACCCCCGTATACAAGGCCCCTGGGAAACCAATCATTCGTTTGTGAATATTCTTACCTCTGTTGCAATTGTTTTACCATAGAGCTCTTCATCATAAATCCAACCATCTGTGCACCCCTCCGTCGCATTGCCAGCGGTGAAGTTCACGTATCTCGAACAGCTGGAATTCACCGGGTCTTCGCCATCCACCTTCCCCGGCTCAAGCGGGTAGTAATGATTCCAAGGATCGCCGACATCGTCCGCGGGACCCCCCACTGGAGGAATCTGACAATGATGCTCGGGAACCGCCCCCAGGAAGCCGATGGCGAGCATATGCCAGGACTGCGTGAGTTGTCCGACGAGGCATATGAGCACGTAAACAATGGTCTGATATCGACCGAAGTCGCCTAAGGATTTGAGCGCGTCGTCGAGTTCCATGATATGAATGTTTACGTCACAATGGTTAAGGCATGTAGTAGGTCCATGGTTTAGGCTTCTGGCGGTCGCCTATACTATTGCTAGGTTATGCAAAGATCAGTGTTCATTCCGCGGTAACCCTAATAGATACCGTTGGATCGCTGTACAAATATAAAGAAGTACTCAATCTTCTGTATTATCAAACAAGGTATCGCGTAAACAACACCCTGACTGCAAATATATACTACAGGAGTAACGTCCAATGAGAGCTAGTATCTTATCTATAAGTGTGTAAGTATGCATTAATTGCCTGTTTCAAGTATGTGTTTATAATGACATGCGATATAATAATAATGCTCATCCAACAATCTGCATTATTTCTTTCGAAACTGATCTGATGTTCTCACAGGAGTGACAGACATGTCAATTGAAAACAAAGTTTTTATAACAGGCCTGCATGATCACAACTAGATTTCAAAGAGGTTGTTATATTCTTGACAATATGTGTTGTCATATGTATTTTGTGTTGTATTTATTAAACTTCATTGATGTACATCAATATTCTGTTTATAAACATATAATCAATTTACAATGTAATGTAACATATCAATATTCTGTAAACATATATACCGTATAAATAAATTTACAATACAGTGTTTATAGCAAAACAGAAGGAAAATTATATCCAGAATCAATCGAAAGAAAGCTGAAAGAACTGATAAAATGATGAAGATGCAGAAAGGGAGAAAGATCTTTATCTCGCACATAAAAGGTGTTCACGCACGCACGCACAAGGCGATACAATGTGGCGACGTCATATTCTAAAATTGTTTTTCCACCTACAATGAATAAATCAAATATTCATAATTATTTAATTTACCCTTTCATGATTTTATCGCCTACATGAACATCTCCTCTGAGGGCTTTATTAAAGATAGTTTAACAATCGTAAAGGAATTCAAAACTGGTCGAAACGAAACCGAGAACACCGTAAAGGGTTGACGTTGATACAATCGACCATAATTTATTGCAAAGTGGGATATAGAATTATAATGTCCATCATTAACCCCTATAAAATAGGCCTGCCTTGATGATTGAATTCAAGAAAGTGCTTATCGAAATTGTCAAAGAAACCAACAACTGTTTCCCTGTAATGTCGCCAAATAATGGCAAGAGCTGCTATGAGGCTTATGACTTATGAGCTGATAATGCTTCGAAAGTCAATATAATAATAATAATAATAATAACTAGAATTTAAATCGTCACGAGGACGATTAAGGTGGTCTGTCTTCAAGTCTTATGATAGATTATAATACTTACTATATTGAGAAAGGGAGAAGTTATATAGACATGTAAACAATGATGATCATCATGATGATCATGATGATGATGATCCTGATAGTAATGGTGATGACGATGTTGATGATGATGATGATCATCATGATGATGTTGATGATGATCATCAACAGACCATGATGACATCTGATTGAAAAAAATGAGGGAACATTTAGATAGCATATAGTCTCAGCTACAACATACTCCAAAATCAACAAAAACCAAACGGAAATAACGGCGATATTGCTCGCAAAAGACAGGAATGTAGAATCCAGATTTGAGAAAAAGTCATCTCCCATAGGGACTACACTCAAAAAGTAATGGATCAAGTGATAATAGGGGAATAATAAAGTAAACATGGTTGTTTATAACATTATTTGTGATTCTACGTGTTTTAATAAGCAAAGGAAAAGGTACAGTGAAAGGTCAAAAAGAAAAAAAAAGTGAAGAAAAAAATTGTTGGAGACGCCCGGACTCGAACCAGGGACTTCGAGGTCGGAAGTCAAGTGCGTTACCGATGTACCAAAATATTTCCCATAGAGATTACACGTAAACGGAAAATGGAATTATCAAATCCCACTTTGTAAGTGAAATATGAGCATGATCCCGGCATCTGATCGAAAATTAAAGGGCACACTTACGATAGCATATTGACTCAGCTACAACATACTCAAAGCTCAGCGTAAACGAAGATAAAACGACGGAGATATTGCTCGCGAAAGACAAGAATGTAGAAACCAGTTTTGAGAAAAAGTCATGTCCCATAGAGAATACACGCAAAATGTGAAAAATTGACATGCCTCCTTTAATCGCAAAAATACGCCATGATGCCATTGTTCAAATGAAATATCGTGTGAAATACATTCGTAGAAAATATTCTCAGCTAAAACATATCAAAATTTGAAAGAAAATTGATCAACATTTACAGAGATACAATCAATTTTCCAAAAATCTGCTAACGTCATAATATGCAAATTGAAATTTTAAGTTCGGAGGCCATTATGATGACGTCATGAGTTAATTGAGGGTCAAATGAGACATGAAATCATATCTCCGACTCATGATCTATCTAAATATGAAAAAAATTGGGGGTATCTATCCATTCTGAAGAGTTAAAATGAATTTTGTATAGGCTTGTTTTTGCACATGTAATGTGGATAGGGATAATGCAGATCCGCGTGTGCTGTAAACTTTGACGGACGCTCATTGCGTTATCACTGGTCAGAAAAAGGTGAACAAGGTATCAAAATGCTTGGAAAAATGTGGTTGATATGATAGAGAAAATTTGGCGTTTCCATGTTGTAAAATGTCAGTACGCGCACTTACGCGCGGAAACGCGCGCAAAAAAGTGCTCTCGCGCAAAATCTTGAAAATGCTTACAATTGCCTGAAACGTGTGCAAAAAAAATTTGGAACGAATTTGAGCATTTTAAAATTTTAATGCGCGCGTACGTGCGCGTCGAGGTGCGCGCGCAAATTTTGTTGACATTTTTAGTTGAACTTTGACCTGAAGTTGATGTATACCAAATATGGTTTATTTTTGAAGACTCGTTATCGAGATATGATAATGACTTGATTTTTACAAAATGGCGCCTGGATGACGTCACGATGACCCCATGAACTTGAAAAAGGTTTCGGGAACTTGATATTATAGGGCCTAATGACTATCAGAAATTTGAAGGAATTTGACCAAGTCGATTTCGAGTAAACGTATACACAAAAAAAGTGTACGGAAGAAATAAAAATAAATAAAGAATAAAGAATAAAGAAAGAAAATTCTAACGAAATCAATAGGTGATCTGTCATCGACAGACCACCTAATAATAGCTAGTTCTTATTTAGCGCTTTTCAGGACCGAAGGCCCTCTCAAAGCACTTTACAGATATATAGATAATATAACAGCCCGTTTTATGTTTTCGAAAATGTAGGCCCACATTTGGAAAGCATTTCTCGGGCATGCGCATATGATCGTGCCAATGCCTTGTGATATCATATTCATAGTTGACCTTTGACCTGTGATTCGAAAAAATACTGCGCAGAGCTCTGGCCGAAGCAGTATAGAATGTCATATACATGTATGTCATGTCACTATTCCATATTACGTGTTGTCGTTTGTACACACGTCTTGTAGGAATTTCGTGCATGGTTGTGGGTATGGGGATTTTTTTTTGGGGGGGGGGGGGAGGGGGGGGGGGGGGGAGGGGGAGGGGGGGGGGAGGGGGGGGGGGAGGGGGAGGGGGGGGGGACACGTCTGAATCCTATATCCTACTCCTATATAGTTATAGCGATCGCGATTTTTTTTTTCTCGAGAAATCAATTCGAGGGCAATCGTAGTATACCTCCATTGCATCGCCCATATAAATCATGAATGGATTACGTCACATATCATTAATGTTCCCACATTACAACAGTTCTTGAATCTATGGTGGCTCCTAAGAGACACGCAAACGCAAAATTTGACGTATACCTATGCAACCAATTTTTAGTTTTGAACTCTTTATTTTTTTCTCAACGCCCAACCCCCCCCCCCCCTCCCCCCACCCCTTGAGCAAAAAATAAATCATTGTTTTGTTTAAGATAACGTTACCATCTTTTTTTTAAACCACAAACCTTAATTGTGTATGATCGAATCTCTTTGATTGAATTCGAGAATCGCGCCATCTTCGGCTTAGGCACTGAAACAGATCGTTCCCGTACGTAACCGTGGGGGAAAAATAATAATAAAATCAAATTACTCTGTAGATGAATTGTGTGCTAACAAAGTTATCAAGTTACCAAGAAATCAATGAAATCACAACCGAGGGATCAAGTCTACAAGTTTGAATTGTAATCAATATGTAATTACTCATTTTCATCACAACAGAAATAGATTACAAGTCATAAGAAACGTATACTCTCAATTATTGATCAAGCTGCCCCTCCCCCATCTCTCTCTTTCTCTCTCTCTCTCTCTCTCTCTCTCTCTCTCTCTCTCTCTATCTCTCTCCCCCTCCCCCTCTCTCTCTTTCATTTTCACTCTCCCTCCCTCCACCTCTCTTTCTCTTTCTGTCTTCCCCTTTCAATTATCTCTCTCTCTCTCTCTCTCTCTCTCTCTCTCACTCATTCACCTATCTCCCCATTCTCTTCTCCTCTCTATAATCTGTACATCAGCATCCTGTCTATTCTACAATATCTTTTTGTTTCTACCCCTATACAAGTAGTACCACAAAACAAAACAAACGTGTGTAGAATAGAATAAATAATTTATTTTACAATTAAAATCATCACAATTGTTTTTAAAGCCTTTCTTAAAACATTTCCTTGAGCTTTTCAGTCACGTTAGCTCCAGCCTATCTTAACTTTCGTCTTTCCAATCGTGTTCTGACGCAAAGGGACCTGTGTCGACCTTTGAGGTCAGAACCGTCTGTCACGTGACCTACCAACTCCCTTCCCGCCTGAAATCCACTACCCCTAGCAAACCTTCCAATCATGATCACAAACAGACTTAATCGCAGAAAACACTCCAAACGACTTCCAGTTCCAAGACGAAGAAAGATGTTGAATTCTAACCAGTCAAGAAAATTGTAAGACTTTGTAAGCATGTCTGGATGTATGTAAGGACCTGACAGTCAAGTGGCTTGAGGTGTGGGTTCCTACAGTACTAAAGGACTTGATAAAAATCACTCAATAACTGGTGTGATCAGACGCTTTTCAACCTTTTCATTTAGCTTTCTACTATCTTTATCATTCATTCTCTGGCCATTACTCTGTTCTGTCAACTTTCTAAACTCATTTCTAATATCATTCCAAAGATAAACTAAACATGATATGTAAATAACATTTCGTCACATAAAATCGGCCTACATCAAATACATAATATTGACGTATCAAATAATGCAGTCGAAATAGCTTTTAAAAAATAGCTGATCAATATTCTTCTTGCCCTATCATCGGCAATTTTTCCATCGATCTCGTTCTGAGGAACACTTTTTGTTTGGTTCGGTATTATATTGGCTAATATTTTTACCTTTTTGTCAAACGGATAATCAAATATATTAACAGCTTTGTCTTGTTTACATTTTGGACTTGTCGTTTCCTAATGTAACATTATTCATTTTGTATCTACCATTCGATTCGATGCTTTCCCTATTTTCTTTTTCATAACACCGTACAAGTTGATTTCATTCGAAATCCTTTTGATAATTAGTTCTACATTTCTCTTTCATCAATTACTTAAACACTGTGAACAGTGGCCTTTGAAATTGTTGGTGTCAACCTGCTCTGAAATGCCTCGGTTAAAGACAACTCCATTTTTATGCTTAATTTCTGCAATCGAGAATTTTCATCGGCAAAAATTTCCTCTCAAAAGCATCATTCTGTAAAATATCGTATAGAATGTCAGCTGGTGAGCAGATAATGATTAATATATCTTATCTACCTTACGCTACAAATATAATTTCATCAATACATCAGAGCACGGGGTCATGACAGGCACTTCTTCTGGGCTTTGGCGACAGCCTTCTCAATGTGTTTCCAGGATGGACGAAGACGAGGTTTGATGTTGGTCATCTCAGCCACCAGCTCTCTCAGGATTCGACTCTTCACCACCTTGCCCTCGATCCGACCCAGCATCTTGCCCACGGAGAAGATGTCAGTTTGAATGGACATTGGTTGTTGGTCTAACATGTATTCTGGAGCCAGATGTTGGTACAAAGTGCCATCATTGTACTCCTCTCGATCAGCTTCAGGCATGTGGCGGTGCTTGAGGGGTATGGTCTGGGTGGACACTTTGCCCATGTCGATGATGAAAGCGTGCCATCTCTTATCGCGGTAGTTCCACTGCAAGAGAATGTTGTTTGGTTTCAGGTCGTTATGCAGGAGACCTTTAGCATGCAGGACCTGTATTCCGTTGACGATGTCTGTGATAATGCCGAACCAATCTCTCTGGGTGAGTGACTGACTAGGGTGTTTTATGGCCTGGCTGAGGGAGAAGACCGTACCGGTTTTCTTGTCGCCAAGGAACTCGAGGACGAGGGAAGGAGCACCGTCGATGTCAACGACGCCGATTGCCTTCGGGAAAGAAGGGTGGTCGGCGAGTGTGAGGTGGACAAATGCTTCCATGGTCGTACGAGCATGGTTGGCCTTGATGCGAATCATCCGTTTCTCGGTATCCTCTTCTTTCACCCGTACGCTTACGTACGGTACCTTGACGGCGACGGCCTCGCCTTTGTACTGCCTAAGGAACACCTTCCCGAACGCACCCTTCCCGATCTGATCCTCGTCATCATCTACCTGAGCGTCAGGTAAAAAGGAAAGGTCAGCGATGTCGATGGTCTTTAGCTTGACATCAGAGTAGGTTCGCATGACCACGGCTCGGTCGACATAAGGCATGTCGGCAAACATAGAGTCCCTTTTCTCTAACATGAACTCGTGAAATCTGAAATTGAAAGTAAACACGAGTTAGGGGTATTATAACTTATAACATCATAACAAGTTGTGATGAATTAAATTACTGGACGGGAAAATTTGTTAAATGCATTCTGTGATGATAAATATTTATTTATGCAATCCTTTGTAGAATACTTCCCTTTTTCTCAATTTCAACTATTTCAAAAATACTATTAAATTGTTAAGCCTTTGGGAAGGTTTTTACAAAATATCCATCTCTTCTAATGTTCGACACATCATGATCATCCTAAACGCAAAGAGATGCATCTTTTTTAAGCAGGGGTGTATCATCTTTTCCTTCCATTTTCTGTTCGGTGCGTTTTCGCTCAGAAAAAAAAAATTAAAAGAAGCAAAATATTCTCTCTGAACACATTACTAATTCCTTTCGTTTGTTTCAACCACTCCCTTTAGAAAATTGTTAGAAAAACTGGCGTACTGGGCACCGTTGCACAAAACTTACCATTGATGATAACTTTGCCATCAATGGTTACTACCATGGAAACCTTGATTTTGATTGGCTGTTGAGCCCTGTTACCGTGGTAGTTGCCATTGATGGCAAAGTTACGATTAATGGTAATGGTAAGTTTTGTGCAACGGGGTTCTGATCGAATTAGCATGATTGGTGTCGCGGGTTTGTGTCTTTTTATTCAGAAAATTATTGTGATGTAATACTCACTCGGAGAGTTGGTATCTGACTTTCTTGAGTAGATGTTCTTGTTTGTATGTCTGGAAACGAAGATCTTTAACAGTCTCCTTCAGTTCAGTCCTTTCACGCTCTCCGATACTGCAAAAAAAAAAAAAAACATAATCTTAGATTGTTGAAGAAAATTGATATATCTAGTCTGATTTTGTTTCGATCGAATTCTAGTCGTCAATGTTAAATTTGAAAAATGTATCTGATCGAATCGATTCTTAAGTGCTCTCTTTACGTGATGTACATAAATAATGCGGAACGTTCGTATTTTGTTCTTAATTTCATGAAGTTGAAGAATACACACTTTCTGATCATTCTAGACAGATCGCAGTACTGAGAAAGACATAATTTCATGTTGTCCGATGGGCTTTTGTATATTTTGATTATGGCCGCACGTGTTTGTATTTTCACATTCCTTGTATTCGTACAATCGACACTTCGTTTCATCTATCGAAATGAATTTAGCTATGATATCAGATATCAGTTGCCTTTCCTTGCAGCACTTTATTGTAAAAGGAATCAAATTACCTCCTATCGTCACCCGAATCACCGCTCTCGAGAAAGGGGTCACTCGCCTTCAACTGTACAGGGTAGAGAACGTAATAAATGAATTTAAAAAAAAAACGATTTAATAAATTCTTTAGTGTAGCCATCAGTCGCATGGGATTTCATGAGGGTCACTGGTGGTAACTGTTGATTTATATCGTGATTGTTAATTTCATTCTAATCAATTTGAATAGGAATTTTATTCGAGAACAGTTGGGGTCTTTGAGCCCGTTGAGCCGACAAGAATATTCAGTATGAGTGCGAGAAGATATTATTTGCAGGAGGCCATTTCAATTGATGATGATGATGATGATGATGATGATGATGATGATCCACAGCACTTGTATGGCGCCATTTATCTGTTTCAAACAATCAAAGGCGCCCGTTCCTTCAATAGTCACATACTACACATTTGCTTGAAAAGATAGGTTTCAGTTTCGATTCTTATTTTCACATTGTTCTTTGAAATCAATGTTGTCACTGTTTACCAAACTGATCCAAATATCCAAATATACAACAAAATCGAATATGAGATCAAAAACGTTCAGAGTGGTAGTTTAAAGTCAATTCGCATCAAAGAAACTGAAGAGGTGTAGACAAAACAGAAAACACTTTGTTAACAGGAATATTTTATTGGTGTATGTGGGGCCATTGAATTGAAAACTTTTTGTCAAATATTATGTTGTTTTTGCTGTCTTATTCTTTCACCTACCATTTCTTCAAGATTGGCTTTAGCCTTTTCCAAGTCGTTTATCTCGAGTTTCATATGTGCATTGAGTTGGCTCATGTCATCAAGCGACTGGCACAAGTCTGTGATCGTGAGTGTATCCCCAACCTTTGTCAGTAGACCAAAATCAACGGCAGCAGTGTTCAGAGCAGCTTTCATCGCCTAAAGATGAAATTGAGAACAGAGGAGAAAGATTAGTAGGATTTAAAAAAAATCTGATTAGAACTACAGAATATGAGACGAATTAATAGTGGGAGGTGGAGCGGATACATGAAGTATTCATGACTTAATCATTTGTGAAAGTTAGATACTTTTTCATTTACATTAAAAAATGCAATCATCCAGTTGTATTCATGTATGTATATTCTCCAAACTCTCGCTCATTTTTTGCCTTTCTTTTGCTTCTTCTCCCCCTTTCAAGAGACAGAAAGGATTATGAAAGATAAAATGGATAATAAAGTAAAAAGAAAAAGTAATGGATTGTACTGGAAAATAACGAATGATGGATAATTCGCTAACGGATGATAACTATTATTGCAAATTATGTTATCCTACCATCGTCCTACCGTATCCTGACAATATTTGTTCATGAGCACAGATTTTTTGTGTTCTTATATGATTCGAATATACTTTTTTTATACTATTTTCATTTCATTCAGGGTATGTTTCTCTTCAGAACTCCTGGTTATGAACTATTTAATCCACCTGCCGAACATAATGGCATTTCTATAGATGGAATCCACTGCATAAATTAGCTGTTGATATGTCTGACAAGCCTCAAGCAAGCTTTTGAGATGCTAGGGGGAACATCCTTCAAGAAGTATACAAACAAGTAGTAGACACTTTTTTTTTTTTTCGTTTTCTCCTCCCTTACTTTTCCTTCGTAAAGGCATCACCCAATGCACAAGAATAAATGATCCTTGAACCAAGTAAAGGTTAGTTGACTTGTTTGAGATGCTTACCTCAAGCTCATCCTCCATCCCCTTCCCTCTTGTCTCCGCTTCAGTTACTTTCCCTTCGAGTACCTCCTTTTGTTTCTTCATCTCAGCGACTTTCCCTTTCAGCTCCTTCCTCTCTTTCGCCATCGTCTCCGCTTCTGCGGCCTTCGCCTCGAGTTGGTCCCTTATTTCTTTCGTTTCAGTTGCTTTCTCTTTGAGCTTCTTCTCGATTAGATCGCTTTGCTCCTTCATTTGAAGTACCTTCCCATTAAGCTCCTGCAAGATAAAGACGTGTTTAAAAATAATTGAGTTTTATCAACTCTTGGTAGCTTTTATTTGTATAAATACTGCTCTTCTTGCAGTCCCTGCAATTATCATTAACTCCAGCAATTGTGAGGTACCTTTATGTACATGGGTGGAGCGTGTCAAAAGTGGATTAATGCCAAAGAGTGTGAATGCCGGGCTGAGATTCGAACCCTCAACATTTCGAATGATAGTCAAGCGACTAAACAAATATACCACTTGTTCTTCCTCAGGGTTCCCAAAGTATCTACAATAATTCGATTAATTAAGTAATAAGCCATGAAACAAAGTGCGCCTATATTAAGGATTATTTTCATGACCACAACAATATATTCCTAGAAACTACATCACCCACCTTTTCCACCCCTTAGCTAAATTGAATAGCAGTTTTTTTAGAAGGGTCTATTTATTTTACACAAGATAAAATATACTTAATATGATACAGATCACTGTTCAACTTTCAGTCTACACAATAGATCTAATATTTTCTATGTATTCATTTGTACTTCTTTCTTAAAGACTGATTTTGAAAAAGAAGTTCAATTCAATTCAGTTAATTTCAGTTCAGATCAGAAGAAGTTGAGATCGTTTTTGACCATCATTGCTTTTATAACTAAGTTGTAAGTAAAATAATGATTTTTGAAGGATACCAGTGAGCAGTGATAAAATTTGGTCTTAATGAAACTATGACATGGTTGAACGATATATTTTCTTCTAAAGCGCTATATACAGTACAAAACTGATCAAATCTCTTTACAAATCAGATTAATCAATACATGTAAACCTACAAAATAAACTACAACATTATCTTTATGCCTCTTGAATGATTCAACAAAGGTACTAGAACTTAATTCACGTGGTAGCCTGTTCCATATTACAGTGCCACTGAAATGAAAACCGCAATTCTACCCATGACTAGGATGCAAACAAATTCATTAATGTTTTGAGGGAGACACGAAACACTTTCAGCGTAGATTAGGCCTACAGAATCCCGACGAATGTGCATAGTATGACTGGAGCATTTTAGATTTAAAAAACAATATATTTGATCCTTTTCCCCACCTGATTTTTCTTCTTCTGGAAATCCACTGAATTTTTAAGGCCTTTGTTACGGACTTGCATATCGGCGATATCATACTTGTAATCGGCGACCATTGATAAGCCAGTCTGCACTTTCCTTTTTGTAAGCTGAATTATAAGAACATTGGATGAGATATTAGAATTTGTATAAAACAAAACTGTGAATTATAAAGTGGTTTGTTATAGTAATTTCCTTTTGTAAGTGTTATGTATAAAATAACACTGGGGGTAAAGATTGAGTATCAATCAGAAATAAAAGAGAGTGGAAAAGTTTGAAATCGAGGGAGAGAATAGAGAGGTTTTAAATTGTGCTGAAAAATATTAGCATAAAAAGTTATTTGAAAATTAAAGATTAAATAGACGTGATAAAAATCTAGGGACGGAGATGCAGAGAAGTTAAACGAAAAGGGTAAGAGAATTCAGAGGAAAGTGGAGATTGGGGGAGATGGGAGCAGGGGAGACTGACATAAAGACATACACATACAGAGATATACAGATTATACAGAGAGAGAGAGGGAGACAGACAGACTGACATATATACAGACAGAGAAAAAGAGATTCAGATTGACAGATAGACATACAGACAGACAAAAGACTCAGAGAAAGAGAGAGAGAGAAGAAAGGGGGATTAATTTAGGTAACAAAAAGTTAGAGAGGATAAGAGGGGATATGGATCACATTAAAGAGAATGATGGGGGTGATAGGACTACAAGGAAAAAGTATTGATAACCGCTTAATTATCTTAGCTCACTCTAATCTTGGAAGATTGAAAACGAATTTCATACCTTGATTTCAAACTCTAGCTCCTTGATCTTCTCTTCGGCTTCCTTCTTAAGTCCTTCCATTTCTTTTACCTTTTCCATGGCTGTCTCGGCTTTCTCAGCAAAATCCTGATGTACAGAAAAGGTTTACATTAAAGTATATTTTTCTTAATTCAAAGTTCCTTTATTTTGTCATTTTCTAGAACATGATTAAGCAACTTGTAGAAGAAAGAAAAATTATGAAACGTCATGTTGAAAATATATTCTCAAAAACAAATTTGTTCAGTCATGAACATCTTGCAACGGCATATGCTTATTCTTTTTATTTAGATTGATTCTATCCATACTGATAATAATTTTCTTCATTATCAACAGCTCGTTAAGTTAACTATTTAGTTCCATGACTATTTTATCACTCGATGTCAACATGTGTTCATTATCGATTCGAGAGATAACGCTAGTTTGTGTCAATCAATCTCAGATTTTTCTTTCTTCAGAATTCGTTTGATTTGGTTTGATAGCTAGTTTGTTTTCTTGACTGCTAAGAAAGCATGTGTGTGCTTGTAAGTAACCAACCAGGGGACCGATGTCTTTCAGTCCTCTCCGAGGGACTTTGGTAATGAGAATTAATGCCTTACTACTAAAGCGCATCGACTTGGTTTCGAACCCAGGACCTTCCAGTTACGAGAACACTGCCCTACCACTGGGCCATCGCGTCTCCTCTCCCACACCCTCTTCTGTTTGTTTTTTTGGAATGAAATGTATCGTTTCTTTTTACCTTGCTCTCCTGTTCGGTCATTTGAAGTTTTTCTTCCAGTTCTTTCCTTTCTTTCTGAAGCTCGTCAACTTTCTGGTTGAGCTTTTCGGTGACACCCGGGGTCAATGCAGGTCTAGAAGTGGATTTCTACAAAGATCAAATAGAGTTGCCATTTTAATATTAATTATCAGTTTGTGGGATTGTTTTATGTTTTTTAAAACGTTTGTTTATTTGATTAATTAATTTTTTTTTCGTATGGTGTGCGTATGTGTTTTCCTTCATATTTGCGGAATGTCCTTACTATTCAGAGCAAATGATGGACACACACAATTTCCTTTTTCCTATCCTGTCACTGTTGAATGCAGTTCCTATACTTCAATGAGCATGTATATTATCAAGAATGCAATTATATTCGATGAATGACAGAATATTTTAAAAGACATCTAACCTTTAAAGACATTAGATGGATAATTGTACATTTAGTAATATTGTTAATTTCATAGAATAAGCATTGCTATATCTCATTAAAGTAATACCATTTCCAATTATATTATTACTCACCTTACTTTGATAGTGATCAGTCAAGATTTAAAGAACTTTTTTTTTCTTGATACATGTATTATCAACATACGCGAAATATATATTTACAATGTAGGAAGCAGGCGATAATCCCTGAAAGCGTGAGGCTTGTGTTGAGGGCGCTATAATAATACAAACGCAAATAATCAGCACATTCGGTTGGGTATCATTGTTACTCTTATCATCATTCCTATTGATACTATTGTAAAAGAAATACAGCTCACCTTGATTTCACTCTCGAGCTTGATGTTTTGGTCTACAGTCTCTTTCACCAGCTTTTCCAAGTCCTTCACTCTTTTAGTTATAACCTGATTTTTCATGACCAGTTTCTAGTTGTGGTTTGAACACATGGATAAATAATGGTATATAATGAACGATAACTTTCTATATATGCGTTATATATTAAGAGGTAATGATGAAACGAATGCATTAATAATACAAATTTAAAAGGTACATTGGAAGTACTTGATTTATTATTATCATCTTTATAATCAGCAGCACCACCATGCGTTCTCTTTATTAAAGATAATGCAATACGGGATATTTATTACGCCAATATATAGCAGCATTGTGTTTTATTAAAGTCTTTCATATACTTATTTATGTTGTATGAAAGAATTATTTTTAAAAAAAATAAAAAATTGTCTATCAATTCGCTACGTAGCCAGTGGAAATATACGGTATCAATGATTAATATTCCTGTTTAATTTCAAATTGACGAAACATGCTCTTAATCTTAAAATAGGGGATTCGGAGTTCTCATTTTTTTTTAAAAATTCTTCCAGTAGTCTATATTTAATTTGTTTTGAATTTAATAAGCTATACATCCAACAAGTAAGGCAATGACAAAGTCTTCTTTTACTTATTTGTGTATTCGTAAATACTTTTTTTTGGGGGGGGGTGGGCATGGTTGCGCTAAGTTTAGTCAATAGCTTTTATTGTTTTGATGTTTCTTTTGGACCTATCTTTGAAATGTTATAATCTTACCGAGCTCTCATTTTCGGCCTTGCTGAGTTTCTGTTCCAGATCCTTCTTGATGTTCTGAAGTTCCTCGATTTGTTCATCAGGCTTTTCGACTTTGTCAGGAGTCACAGCTGGGCTTAGATCTGATTCCTGTAGAGGGAATGCGTTCTTGTTAAAGTACTTGAATTGTTCTTGACGGCTACAGTACATATAACGGCAGTAATGATAAATTAAAAGCTAATTATATATTAAGAGTGCTGAATGATCATATAGCATTGTATACTGCTTAATTATGAGTATTACAATCATTTTCACCCCTGTTTTAATAAAGCTCTAATGAAAAAGGCAGATGTCCAAGTTTCAAAAAGGCTATGAAAGATTAATTGTCCTATAAAGTTTAAAGCGTGGATTGCATGTTTATTAACAAATATGTTTATATTAACAAACATGATCAATATGCGGAGTAACCCATGATGCAGTAGAATCGCTTTATCCGCCGTCTCTCTATCTCTCTCGCTATGGTTTACCTTCTGACTTTGCTTCTGAGCCTGGGTGAGTTGCATGGAGAGATCTTCATTTTCCTCCTTCAGCTTCATGGCGAGTGTCATGTGCCTCTCACTTTCCTCAGTAGCTGCCGCCAGGTATTCCTCAAATTGCTGTAAACAAAATATCGATTAGTATCAAGTGATTACATTTTGATGCAATAAATGGCCACGTTTTGCTAAGATTGCTTATAAAACGCTAACTATTCCTCAAATTGCTACCAAATTGATTAAGATTATGTGATCCTTGTGATTAGATTTCGATGCAAAGGAAAACACAAATTAAATATGTAGGCCTACAAATGTGTTAATTGTGTTAATAATGAAAAAACAAACAAGTTTATAACTTCAAATCTATGAGCTTATGATCTTGATCGTCAAATGGCATATACTGTATTATTACCTGGCACACAATTTGACGGCCTTCAAGTTGTCTCGTTAGATTGGCCTTTTCCTTCTCTAATTTTGATGATTCTTCCTTTAGCTTTACGGTCTCACATGCTGATTTCTTCTTTAAATCCTGAGAAGAAGGAAAAAAGGAGAAATGTAAACTTCATCTTCAAAACATGACAATTTTTTTAGGTAATGTGAATTTCGTCAAGAAAAAAAACCCAAGGAAAAATGAGTGATATACGGTCATACGGATGATTTCTATTTCAAAACACGAATTAATTAAAATTCATCATTATTAATATTCAAGTGACGGTTCGCTCAGTTTGTTTTATTCATATCATTTTATTATGTATCATTTTTTTTTGTATCTTACCTCTTGCTCTTTTGCAGCATTCTGAATTTATTTAGCTAGTTCTTTCTTCTCTTTTCGAAGTTCAGCGATTTGTTCCCCAAGCTTTTTGGTAGCGCCTTGAATCTCAGCCGCTCTAGATTTGGCTTCCTAAAAGGAACAACAAAAATTGTGATAGGCACACCTTGTCAATATTTTTCTTTTAGCTTTAAGGTACTGTTAAATCAATTCTTTTGAAATTAAAAGCACATTTGTTCACTCAGGATGAACAGTTTAATATTTTACCATGGTAAACCTAACTCAGCATACAAACTTAAACCCTATTCTATATAAAATATCCGAATTTTACAGTATCATTTATTAATTATGGAGATTTTATGCGACTTTGTTTATTGTGAGCCTATTTTGTCTTGGTCATTTTGGTTGTCTATTGCTATACCTTGCAATCAGTTTGGCAGCCGTCAATTTGTTTCAGGAGATTGGCTTTTTCTTTCTCCAATTTGGCATATCTTTCCTGGAACGCCTGGAATTCACGGGCAGATTTCTCCCGAAAATCCTTAAGACGACAAAATAGAAAATAGAAAAATAAGTGCAAATCAAACATTGTAAACATAGAACCGATCTTAAATACGGTAAAAATTCCTCAATGTCGCAAAATAAATAAGGGAAAAGAAATACATTTCTTGCTCAATACACACTAAACAGTAATTTATTATCTTGAATTTATCATCGAGAAATTTTTTGCGATTCAATTTTTAGATGAGATTTCAAAATTCTTCACGATATATACTTTGTGCTTTTGGGGGATTTCGTTCAACTTAATTCCATTCAAATATGACGTCATTAAAAAATAGTATAGATAGTAAATGATAGTATAAATCTTAAATACATTATAGGCCAGGACCTTTAAGAAGCAAAAGTGCTTGTAAAAGTGAGGTCCTTTTCAAATAAACACAATTTTAGATAAGTTACAAAGGAAATGAAACGTACACGGTATATATCTATTATTTTTTAATTTGTTATAACGACCATAAACTACAGCAGATATCAACCACATAATGGTTGTTAGTAATAAAAAGTTATCTCACTTTCATCATATTTACCTTGCGGTCTTTTTCGACAGTCCGAAGTTTTTCTTGAAGTTCTTTTTTGCCTTTCTGAAGCTGTGCGATTTGCTCTTCAAACTTTTCGGTAGCTTCTAGAATCTCAGCTGGTGTGGAATTTGCCTCCTAAAAATAATGAACCGATTGTAAATAGCACCTCTCGGCATTCTTCTTCTTCTTACGTTGTGATATATTAAACACAAATCAAATGATAAACCAATAGCACCCTGTTCCTGAATTTTACAATAATTATCATCATGGTGTACGCTTAAATCTACACTTAAAGAGAAGGTTGAGTTCTGGTAGCCTAAAGATATAAACAGGCGTGTGAATGTTAGTTTGGAAGAAATGTCATAGTTGAAAGACGTCTCCTGGAAAGGACCGTCCCTTGAAATTCCCCCGTATTCGCAATATGACGGGGAATATAAACTGACAGATGTATACCAAACTTTTACCGTGTTAACGCCACAAGTATGTGTAGTCCCATGTACCCATTCTGTGAGCAGCACATCACAATTTTCAGCCAAGATACAATCAATTTCTTGTCATTTTGATTAGTCAAGAGCCCCCACAGTTTATATCTAGTTTTATGTTTTACTATAAACATCATTAATCTTCCTTATTGTTTCCAGTCAGTTCCTTTCACCATTGAAATTGTATAACAATCATTTTACTTTTATCTTTACTAATTATAATTGTATCAAGAGGAGATTATAATTTATTCGCATATTTAGCACCGATGATGCGTGTTCATACCTCGCTTAAAAGTTGAAGGTCTTTGAATTCTTCAAAGAGATATGTTTTTTCTTCCTTCCATATCGCAGATTCTTCTTTGTGTTCTTGCCGCTGCCGCTCCAAAGCCTCATCCAAATCCTGGAGAAAAATTATCGGGATAATGCAAACTCCACCTTCAAAATGCTTTAAACATGACAAATCTGCCATTTTTAATCAACTCATTAATTTCCGTCGACATAAAACAGAAAAATAAGATGCAATATTTCCTTGACTTTTATCAACATTATATTTCTCTTTGATAGATTTGTGTATGATGACGTATTAACAAATAAGCGAAGAGTCCCCCCCCCCCAGACCAGGGGTGGGGTAGGGGGGGGGGGGGGGTGGCAACAGGTGTATCTAGGGCCTGTGCTGTAGAAGCAACAACAACAAAAATCCTCGTCCTTGAGATTAGGTCCTGAATACGTTAGCTTCCAAAAAATGCTGAATACGCCATTTTTCACATACTACATTTTTTTACCTGGCATTTTAGGAAACTTTTTTCCAATTCTTCTAAGAGTTCATCGTCATTTCCTTTTCGAATGAGCCTCAAAGCCCGTTTCAGTTGATCATTCCTTTCTACCACAGACTCCAATGATTCATCCGTTTCCTGTAAGGTTGGTCAAAGAGAGCTTTTAAAATGGTTTGATCTGAAGAGCAATTATTACAGAAGATGATTGAGTATTCTTACTTTTAATGAAGAATTTGATAAACGTTAGTTTCACAATCATGTTTCGGACTTATTTTCAATAAAACTATTTTCATTACATTAATGAGACATCTAAAACGTGTTTTGTGTATTTTTGTAGCTCGTGGAGACATATTCTTGGAGTAAGATATAATCTATGGTCCTTAATACACTATTCAACGAATTCAGAGATTTGTTTTCCAACTTTGTTTTCATTCACGGCGAAGGCCAAAGTCATTCATCCGTCTAGTGGGTCTCATTCGACCATAAACGTAACTTCTGAAGAAGACAGTAAGTCAATTTCGCTCGTTACTCATTTAAGGAAGCGACTTTACACCCCTAAAAGATGTTCCAGCTAGAAAAAAAAATTATAAAAAAAGGGGGGGGGGGTTATAATTAATATTAATCATTTGCGCCTTCCCCATTGTGTTACAATGCCCTTGAATAAATCATGTTTGTCATATTGTGATACATTATATTGCTTGATTATTTGCTGAATATGGGGAAATTAAGAAATGGAACATTATTTTTAATTGTCTTTTTTTTCTCAAGTATATATACAATTCCCTTACCACGCAAAGGTCGCGTAGGGCTGCCATTTCACGTATCATGTAATCATTCTCGCCCTGCAGCTCGGTGACCTGCTTCTCGCTCTCCTCCTTCACAGACTTGAGTTCACCTTCCGATGCCTGTCCCAAAAGAAGGAGAACAGATTGCAGATAATTATGATACAAACAATAATATGCTGTGTTTGTATAATAAAAATAATAATAATATTAATTAAACATTTTTATAAAGCGCATAACACATAGGCAATTGCATGTCTCTACGCACGTTAAGAAAAAGAAAAACAGTGCTCTGGGTTAATGATTTTGATTATATTATGATATGACATCTCTATTTGCTCTTCCAAAGGAGTTTGGATGATAAAATTTCCCTGGCTTTAGCTTCGGCAACTGTAGCGCTCAGTGCATTCGAGGATTACTTCCTACCCCTTACTACACCGGGGTCGAGAGTGGCAAATGTAGATCAATATCTTGCCAAAGGACGTTAGTGCTACGACAGGGATTCGAACCCCGTAACTATCTTGTGGGCCAGTTCAGAGAACTTCTTAAAGACCGTCAATAATACTGGGCCAGACGGGATTAGACCACACAGCGAGGTCACTGGCTATCTCATTAACTCGGCTCTCAACTAACATAAGAAAAAGAGGATCATGGGGGAGCAACAGGCACCAATTGGGAAGTTTTCTATATAGAGGGAGCAGGTAGCTACAAGTAGGACAGTGGGGCTTTAAGTAGCCCACAGCACCTCTACAAGAGAACGCGATCGCAATGACTTTCAAGAATCGAAGGCAGTTT